TAGATGCAAATTCAAATACATTTATCATCACAATGGTCTAAGTATAGCATTCTTTGATTTGATTGGAGATCACTTAGTTTGAGCTAAAGTGGGTTTCTCTGTATTTTGCTTTTGGTGCTATATAGTGTGACACCTATTATTGTGTGTGTGTGTGTAACCAGTGGGAGTTAATAAAATACCACCACCACTATTCACCGTAATTTGAATTTGTCAACATCATAAGAATGTGACTTGACCTCTTCATGTTCTTCTTTTCTTCTCCAAAGCTTGTCCACCATCATGACTGTAAGAGTTTTCTTCTCATCAATAAACAAGAAACAGCTGATATGAGATCTGCACACAAAAAAAGGAAGATGCAATGGAAATAACAGAAGATGATCATCTCTTTCGATGACCTTGTTAATATTCTAATGGATCTTGTCTTGTGCAGACGATGAGCCAAGCCAATGCCACGGTTTTTGTATGCCTTGCGCAGCCTTGGACTAGATAACTGCCCTGGTTTGTGGACGCATAAAGAGGCCTAAAGAAATAATTCTTAGCCTTTATTGGGATTATAGTTTCTGAGCGATCTTAAGATGTGCTTCTGCTCTCACAAAAATCTTCTGACTATAGCTATGCGAAAAACATCCTTACAAACCCGAGCCTCGCAAGAGTCCTTGTACCTTGTGTAGAAAATTGCATCATTGGCGCTAAGTCCCTCATTCGCGTCTTGTGCAATTTCTATATAAACTTTGAGAATCTTCAAGTTGGACAGATCTTGATCCCTAGAGCTCCTATTAGTTGTGGCAACTGCGAGTTCCAAACACAGACGAATCCAATCATAATTGTCTTGCAGCTCTGAATTCTTCAGCTGCAAAACGAAGCTAAACATATACATATCACTACTAACTAGTTCTAAGACTTAGCTCTGGTTAGCCTTTTTCGCAAACAAAATCCACACCAACTTCTTTAGCCGCTTCTCATACATACGACCAAGTTTCCCCTAAACTCAAACTGAACCAAACCTAACTACAATCAGTTAGCAAACACAAACCACTTCACGATTTAGTTTGGTGTGGTCCAAGTTCAGGCAGATCTTTCAGGCCTCTTTCTTACCAGAGAAACGTTTCTTGCCTACGATAAGAATGAGCATGTCAATAATCTATGTACTTACCCGTAAACGATACAATGTTATCAAACCTGAAAGCATAACTCTCTACAACAATGCGTAACTCCCTACACACAATTTAAGTATGTATGTATAGGCTTTACAATATGTTAATCCTTCTTAAACTCCACACGCTTCTTCCTCTTTCATCCTTCTCCACACGCCATTCTCCTCAAGCATCCCTCTTCTCGGCCTCTTCCTGTAGTACACTCTGTCGAACTTATCAGCCTATTACTAACTTACTTCTCTTAGCTGATTCATCGCACAGTGACGCTGTTGTCACTGGCCGGACAACTGATGTCGGATGACTTCCAGGAGGAAACAATGTTGAAAATTCAGAAGCTTCCGGCCAATCAGAGACTCCTGGAAAGGGATTGAAATCAGCCATATAAACTTGAAGAGATTTTTTTACACTGTAGTACTCATTTACATAGTGCAAATGGTCAATGTTTAGCGTCCTGCAAACATCCAAAACGTGAGAACACGGATACTTGCAAAGTTGCCATATCCCACATGTGCAAGCCCGATTGCTGAGATGAATAAAAAACCTCTTCTTTCCAACTTGCATCACTTCCGTAACCTGAAACTGTTGTCGGTTATGGTCTAGTGGCAATACATTGTGTGTTCTGGAGGCTATCTTGTATTCTTCAAGCTTTGTCATGACACGCTTAACGTACTTGTCTCCTATTTTCACTGATTCGCTGATAAGACCATGACGAGATTTGAAAAGCTCTGCAAGATTATCAAAAATTAACAAGACGCAGGTTGTAATTGGAAGATCATGAGCTTTGTTTATGAAATCGTAAATCGTAAAGATTAAGTTTGTCTCTATGATCCCGAATCTTATCCCGCCTTCATCAAAAGCAAGAACCCATTGATGCCGAGGTATTTGTTCTAACCATTTACGAGCCTCAGGATTCATCTTTTCAATTTTCACCAAGTAGTAATCGAAACTTGGTATGTACCTTGACGATCCAGCCTTGTAAGCTCAGTCATGAGATTGCTATGGAAAACGTCATAAAACTTTAAGCATAAATGCCTAAGACAGAACCGGTGTTGCGCCCACTGGCACTCAGGTTCGTTAACAACTGCAACTATTTCAGGACTCGGACTTGTTATTAGACAAATGCCATCCCTTTGTGTTACTTTCTATCTGATACAAGAAAAGAACCAACGCCAAGAATCAGCAGACAAACTTTCTTGGGTAACAATCGCAAACGCAAGTGGGAAAAGCCTGTTTCCGCCATCGAATCCCGCTGCAACCAACATTTTCCCAGGGTACTTACTGCTCAAGTCTATCGTATCCACAATGATCAAAGGTCTTAAGTGAGAAAACCCTTCAACAGACTATTGAAACGCCCAAAACAAGGAACGAAAGGATGCGTCTTTTGGATCAGGTAAAACATCATATTGCCAATCCATTACCACCTTATTAGATGAGCAAAGAGTAGCCATGAACTTTGGCAATACGCTAAAACTCTTGTCCAAATCTCCCAAGATTAAAGTGATGGCTTTCTTTTTAGCATTCCACATGTTTTCAACAGAGATTGTGTAGCCAAACTCTTCTTTCACCCAAATGATCAGCTCCGCAATTGAGACCGAAGGCTGAGACTTTATCAGCCCTTCAAGCTCACCTGCAAGAAAATCTGAGTCCACATCTGCTGGCTTACAAGTATGTGGACCTCTGTATTTTGTTATCTTAAAACCAGTTCCCTTCATTTCAGCTGCCCTGAGAATCCATCCGCAGCCATTCATGCACTCAAAAGTAGCGGAAGATTCGTATGCATGATACTTTCGTTGCCTTCTAGCGGAGTACAACTTCACTGCATTATCCATCTCCTTTTTATCTCTGAAAATCATCCCAATATGCAACTCGCTTTCATCAATCCATGAACCAGACAAAATTAACTGCTTTGAGACGTTATCGCTGCGACCTTTTGTTGGACCAGGCTTTTTCATGTTCAAACCTTTCTCTGCATCGCCACCATTTCCACAATTCCGAGCATCCGTATTCTCCTCATTTTTGATCCACCCGTTATTGTTATCCTCCCGCGGAGTTCTTAACGTGTTATCTCTCACACTGGCATTTACATTTACATCAACATTAGCATCTTCTTCCCTAGAACGCTTTCGGCTCGCCTGATTTGCTAAGGAACTACCGTTATTTGGCAATGGTGGAGACCCATCAGAAACCGGTTTGACCTCTAAATAAAACTCCACATTGGTGATAGAAGGGTACAAGGTTGGAACTTCAAGCATGGTCTCAAGGCTACAATCATCCACAATAGGTAAACGCATATACTTCAACATAGATTGTTGAACAATGGAAGGGTACCTACCAATCAAATCAATCTGAAACTTTCCCTTTTCAAATCCAGTGACTCTATACAGATGATCCAACAATTTGGGTAATTTAATTGTATTCTCAACTTTGATTACTCTTGGAATTGATCCTTGGTAGAATGGACCATCAAGGCCATCTTTGACACAACCATTCCAATAACAGAACACCGGAATATTTATCGTATCCATGAGCACCACAAACCTTCAAAAATAAATTTAAATAGAAACAGGATAAATTATGGGTTTGAATCGAAATACCCAAAGCCATCACTACAAGAAAACTGTAATTTAGCGTCGGAATTTAGCGTCGGAATTTTTTCGACGCTAATATAGCATCGAAATTGCGTCGAAGTTGTGTCAATCTACATATTCGACGCTAATTCGACGCTAAGTAGGGTTGAATAAATTCGACACTAAATCGACGCAAATTAGCATCGAATTAGC